GGCTGGCGGCATTAGGGTCTTGTGGGGCGATGAATGGGCCTGGATTCTCCTGGATGTGCCTCAGCAAGATTGCAGCAACCGGATCCATTGGATGCAAGCAGGATTTGACGCAACTGGATCCCTTGGATCCCGAGGATTTTTGGCAACATGTGAGCATTTCGAAACTCTGCTCGCACCATCGTGTTTGAAAGAAGGGTACCGCCTCCAAGAGGGTCTTCACACTAGTATAGGTCTTTTGCTTTCTTGAAGCAGCTGGGTGCATGAGTTGGATTGCAAAGCACATCGGAGTCAGGTTGATGCGGAGGGAAGGGAATTATGCCGATAAGAGCCAGATGCTGGATGACCTGATGCTTGAGCGGTGAGCACACGCGCAACCACGCACGCGCGTGTGTCTCTGTGTGTGTGTGTGTGTGTTGTTTTCTTGTTGGAAGCCTTTGATGGATTTGTAGTTTCTTGCTTGCATCATGTCACTTAGGTTTGGTACACGTCTTTGGTTCCATTCACTCATTGTCATGTCGGTGGTACCACACAAGTCACACTTAGATATTTATCCAATGGCTTGTTTTTGCCACACGAGTGGCTTGCCCTTCCAACATTGGCGATAGGGCACCTAGACGGTCCTGGGCATGGGGAAAGGGAACACAAAGCCACTCCATTCACATGTGCCAAAACGATGCGTCTTGGTTGGTCCGCGGCATCCAACAGACTGCGCGACCAATTCTGCCACATCACTCTGCTCAAATATGTCTTGTCAACTCTCGATGTGCCCCAGAAGACTATAGATGATTACTTCGATATCACGAGATCCATCAGCTTGAATTCTTTGAGGGAGCGAAGCTCCAATTGGGGGTGTGGGGGGAGGCTAGGTTGTAATTTGGCGCGAAAATCCAGATTCCAAGGAGAAAACGGTGGACACCTTTTTGGGTTTCGTTCAGTCTTTTGTCTCCTCAATTTCAATACGGATGATGCTGGTGATGCAGGGTCCGCATCCCCAGCATCCTCAGCACTACCTGGCACGTACTGACTGTTTCTGTTGGCAGCTGCTCCTCTCCCCGAAAAGCACGTTTTTTTTGGAACCCCTCTTTGTGGGAGCTGCTCCTCCCTCTCAAAAGCTCAGTTTTTTGGGAGCCCCTCTTGCACGCCGTCGAAGCTTTGCCTCACCAAAGCCTGTCTGCTGCTTTTTGGAGGTGCGGCCTGCGAATGTTTGGGAAGCTGCTCCTCCCGTTCCGGAGCCAAAACCTCATGTGTGAGTCCGGGTCCCCTGCCTTGGCCCAGTGAAGAAGCGTTGCATCAGAAGTGGCTCACCTGACTCTGAGGTGTCTAATGTGTGCGTGAATGCAAGATATGCCAATGTAAGACGCGGCGAAGAAGGCCACGAGAAGTCTATATAAGCAATTTTGCTCAGATCTCTATCTCCATTTGCGGAAGACGTCATCTCTGTTTGCAGGGGAAATTTCATTTGGAGCTATCAGTCTGGAAGACAACTATCCATTCCGAAGGGAGATTGAATTGGTGTTTCCTCAGGTTCTTGTTGTCACCTCCAGCTTGCTGGAGTTCATGCTCGAGCTGATTCTGCGCGCTGAGGCCGTTGATACCATTCATTTGGATATAATTGGGGTGTGACTGGACCATGGTTTGTTGTTCCGAGCTTTGCGGAATGGCGATGCACTCAGATACTTGCCAACTGTTTTTGTTGTTCGTCGTCGACGGCTTGTGTTGCTTGCCTGCAACTGTGTCAGGCCACGGCGCAGGTCCCGGGCTATGCTAGGTTCCCTTGAGAAGCAAACCACATTGACATGCGTCAACCCCTGCTAAGTCCTCCAATTCGTTTCTTCTTTTCGGTGGCTTCAGCTTGTCCAGCCCTCTTTTTTTTCCCTGAGGCGTCGGATCATTCCACGGGCCCGATGAGCACCAGCATGCGCTTGGTCCGGATTTTGCGGGTGGCCAAGATCACCCGCGCCATCCGCATCGTGCGCCTGGTGAAGTTCATCCGCTCCCTGCCCCCTGGCCGCAGGGGCGCGGATGGCGCGGCTTGCGGCCCTCGCGGAGGTGTTCGGGGGGCGTGTTTCTGATTTGTCATGCTTTTTAAAAGGGAGGAGGCTGAGGCGGAAACCAAGGGCACATCATGCTTGCGTTGTTTGTTTGTTTGCTTGTTTGTTTGTTTGTTTTGCACTGTTGTTTTTGTTTTTGTTTTTGTTGGGGGGGAGGGGGTTCCTTGTGTTGAGAATAACATTTGTTGGCTGGGTGATGATGTTCCCTGCTGCTTGTTTGCTGAAGCTGTTATTTGTATTTGATGTTCGATGTTTGCTGCACAAATGATCAGGCCCATGCTTGAGCTCAATTTGTTCCACTGTGGTTGGCGCCCTCACTGTCCTGGGCGCTCAAAGCTTGGGCGAAGGGCTCCGCGCGATCAAAAGGGCTGGTGCCTCCGATGGCCCATGCCTCGTGGCTTGCTGAGGGGTAGGAGATCGCACGTGCCCAGTTCAGCCCGCAGATTCCCGGCCGTTGCCTTAGGCACTTCTGTTACCTGGGGCAGATGGTTGTAGCTTGCCAGGATGTCGTGCCAGGTGGAGGGACCCGATCAGTTGACCATCTCGCTGAAGTGGGACTTTTGAAGTGGCTCGTGCTCCGCGTGCAGTTGGTGCCGCGTGTCGTGTTCCGCCGGCCTTGGCAAATCCCCCGGCTGTTGAAGAACACTGCTCACGCACTTGGGCCTGCCGTGCAATGCCTTCTCCGCGTGTGTGCCGGTTGACTCCAAGCTTTTGCTACGGTACTGTACTTGGCTTGTGGCTCTGCAGCGCTATTGCATGCCCAGTTTAGCTGTGCAGGGCTTGGGCTGTTGCAAAGCTTTGATGAAGCAGGGACCAGCTGTTCGCGTGCTCAACAGCCATGTTGCCGGCGCAAGGCAGGTTGCACTTCAGGATGATCCACGCGTCAATTGCCACAGCCGGCACGTGGCTGTCTGCTGCGCTTTCTGTTGGCGAGGGCCTCCCACCCATTCCCGCAGCGTGTTACGCGTGCTGTCCTTCAGTGCGCGGTCAGCTGGGATTGTTTTTCTCGTTCATGAGCCCGGCGTTGTGCCTCCGGGTGCTGCTACAATTGCTCTCACGTCTCGTCAGCGTGGTTGCCTGAGAGTGTTCCTATGCCTCCTGCTGCTTGGGGGTGCTTCAATCAGTTACACGGCTAGTGAGCTGAATCGCATCGCGGCCGTTGTCACAGTCACTGTCTTGCCAAAGAGCGTGCGTTTTGTACTTCTTCGGGATGAGCTCGGAACGGTGGCGCACGGCCACGCAGGACGTTTTATCCTGTTGTTCGCGTTGGGCGTCCTCGCTCGCCGCTTTTCACTTCTCTGACTGGCTCGGAGTCAAAAGCGCCTAGATGTAGTCTAACTTGTCCGGGGATGTCTTCCCGGATCCTTCGTCGAAGGCCATGTCGAGATTTGCCTACCCCTTGTGAGCGGGGCTGGTTGAATGAGCCAGTGGAGCCCTACGCACTGGATTGCTTAAAGTATAGCTCACTCTTTGGACAGGCCCAGGCCAGCGACCCTGGATGGAGCATACTGGATTTGTTGACTATCCACGAATCAATTTGCTTGAATCCGAATTCCACAGCCGTGCGTTCGACCTTTCAATTTTCCGAAAACTGGTCCAGCGTGCCAAAAGCTTGGCCTTTTGATTCGGATCTTTTGGGGTGGGCAAGGAATGTGCATAATGTACGTCAACGTATTGTTGCCATTGTTAAACAGTTGATTGAGGATGCGGCCAGGCTGTAATTCGACTCAAACGCATGAGTTGCTGGCCGCAACTTGTTTGCCAGCGCTTTGTTTTGGGGCACAATGCAAGCAGTCTGGCTGTCAGCCGGTTTTGCTTACGCATCGCATGCTGGGTGCGCAGCACGAGCACATGATGCTGAAATACCCCAAGGCCGGCAATTAGGCAGACTAGACTACAGCAATGGAAGTTGGCCACAGCCACAAACTGTGACTTAGAATATTTCTTTGACGCACTTGACTACTTTCGGAAAATCGATTCACTTGATCACCTTTAGGCAACTTGATCCTATCAAACACCCAAGGTGATCCATCTCTACACAACTTCTTCTTATGATCCTCAATCCTTTTGGGCACAGATCCACTTGCCAGAGCTCGCGCACGCTCAGGAAAACGCTGCTTTACTGTATCGGCCGCACACTGCGAGCTATGGCGTGGTCCGCAGTTCTTCTGCTGCTTATCATATTTTTGCGCCTCGGACGATGCAGTAGAAGCAGTCACCAGAAGGCTTTCTTTTTGCGTGGCTTCTGGGAGGATGCTGATCATGAGTTGCAGGTGTTCATTTTGTGGTGTCCGGTTTGCTGGCTGATTCCATTGACCTGGCTCAACTCGACGGTTCTAAGACTTTTCATACTCGGTTCAAGTGTAGTCCCAGCATGAGGCCATATAGTTTAGACGAATACGATTAACCTCAATCGCAGGCCGCACTTGTTAGAGCGAATCTTGGAGGTACTGAAGAACGCAGCCGAATTGTGTGTCGTCAACATCACTGTGTCAGACATTGCGTCACCTGTTCAGCACGTGCTCCACTAAACGTGAAGCAGCCAAACAGATGTACAGTATATAGTAGAGGCTCAGTGATATTTCTCGTCGTGCCCTGATTGTATACACTATTGTCAATTCGCCGCAGGGTGTTGATGCATACGATGTGTGCTTGCGTTATATTTCGTTGCTGCATCGCTCTATTGCACAAGAACTGCAGGAGCTCGGGGTTTTGTGGCCAGATTGCGTTTTCGACTCTGGTTAGCTCCTGGTTCTCAGTTTGAGTCTTCACGATTGAAACATACTCGACTGACACAGTACCAGGGCTGTGTGAATACGCTAGTGAGAGGGCTTTGGCTGAGAGGGCCATTGGAGGGCCGTGTGTCCAGTTGCAGCCCAACCCATGACGGCAGATTTGAATTATGGTGGCAATGACTCACATTTGCCCAGCCCGCCCATCGCTGCTGAAGCAGGTTCAGCCTGATCTTCACAGACATTTGCACGGAGTACATTGGCACGCCTGAACACGATGTAGTCACGGCACAATTCTTGATCCATCGCTTTGGATCGTTGGATGCCTCTATGCACACCTTGCATCTCGGCGGCAAATTGTGGGTTCATGTCGTTTGTGTCCACTGTATGTCAGCTTGCATTGGCTATGCAGAGGTCTAAGCCATGATATTGCAGATTTGCATTGGAGAGCCTTCCGCCCACCGACTGATCCCTTCTTGCATTCCTACACATCAAGCCCACAATGTCCCTATCAAGTTGCGCAAGGTGTTTGGCCCGTCTGCAGTGCAGACCACACAATGCAAGAATTACACGCCCAAGGATGCGGATCAATGTTTTGATGCAATAAAATGCTCGGCAGAGAATATGTTTTATGTGCATGTGATGGCCCAATGGGCAGTGCGCTCTGGAAACAAGACTTAAGGAATTTGTCTAGGCACGTATATTGCATGCACTTTGAAGTGTGTGGCCCTTCCATTGGCCACTCATGCCTGAACTCTTTGCCTCACTGTTCAAATTTTGATTTCAGATCCCTATTGCCCTGTGGCTAAGCTTTCTTAGAGAGTCATCCGCGGCTAACACTGAGGTATGCTTCCATCACAGGCAGGGCGATGGGATCAAGCAGATCACGGTTTTAGCGTGCCTAAGATAACTTGTTGGAGTCGTTGATATTTGTGGACGATGTGTAGGATATGTTCTGAACAAGGGACTGTTGCGCACAAGGGCATTTATGCTGGCCTCATGTTGGTCGAATGGCATGTTCCTGAGCCGCGTGTGCAACTCCACCTTGTCCCGTGTTCATCAATGTTTGTCATGACAAGAATGGCTTACAAGCAGTCTTGTGGCTGTTGCTTATTTGACGCGTTGTCTTTCAGGGCCGAAGTGTGCATGACCGGTTTTATCTTGGGTAAATCGCAACGGGACTCTTGCAATTTTCCTCAGCCATCTTACGAATTGCCATGAAACCTACAGAATTGGAGGCATCGACCCCCGCATGCCTTGGGCAAGTTGAGCTTGACCCCTTGTATGAAGAGCTCCCCGTCGTCGTGACGCATGCTCCACCGCCTTCGGTTGACCAGCCGGTTGCTGTCCGCAGTCCTGGCTTCACGTCGCAGGCGGCTTGACCTGGACAGAGGCCAGCGACATGCTGGCACTGGTGTCGCCCTTGTGGCAGCTACTTTTCGAGGCCAGGATGGGGTTGTCTTTAAAGAAGCTGACTCCCCGAGTTCCTCAACTGTCAACTCTTTCGGAAGACCATGTTAGTGGTGAGTCAATATGTAGACCTTTCCGGCGGATACGCTCAGGAAGTGAGGAAGCCCAACCAAGTTTGGTTTCTCAGGGCTCCTTGAAAGATGCAAATTGGCCATTTGAAACAGGGCGCATGTCAGCGCACCGACAGGAAGCCGCCATGTTGGGTTCAGATCTATAATGTAGTATGATGAAACAAATTATAACATAGTATAATACGATGCAATATAGTACAATAAGAGATCTCTGGTTTTCATTTGTCTTTCCTAGAAAAACACAAACAGAATAAACTCAACAAGAAACACCCCCTCACAAGCGACCGGGTGGTTGCGTTGGAGGAACACGCGTGACCTGGACCTTGTTTGAGATTGCTGGCGTTGCCAAGCCTTTAGATTAATGTGGTGCACCATGGTCGGTTTGGCTTCAGGTCAAACGAAGGCTGGTCGTACGAGCACGTTGGAAATGGTGCGGCCCACTGCGGGCGCTTCCCATATATGTAGCCAGACCATGTCGATGGTAGCATTTGAAGGTGACCAGTTTGGGGTTGGTTAGAGTGAAAGCAGAGTGGCACCCAGCCGTGTCTTTGTAGGATGTCTTTTTGAATATTCGGAAACCAAAGGCAGGCCGAGCTTTCTCTAAGCCGATGTCCTTGCCCCATGCTGGAAGCAATATTTTGGCAAACGTAATATTTTCAGCCAATGCCAAGTGGTCTACTGACGCAGCTAAAGGCTATGGTGTACATGGTTGGCATGCTGTTTGCGTTGTGCTATCTTTGAGTCAGCCACGTCTGCAGGTGTACATTGCCTTCTGCACATTCGCTGCTTCTGGGCGGCTAAACGGTAGGGGCGAGGCATCATGGTCAACCGGGGACATGTGTTGGGGGACGCTTACAACAGCAGTGCCTTCGTGCAGCATGTGTTTGCTTTACGTGACAGTTTGGCTGTATGTGCGCTGCCTCGAAACCTGCTTTGCTTTTTCACAGCACGCGCAGTGTGGGTTGCACATGCAGTTAACTCATGATGAAGCTTCTGCAAGATGAACTCCAGAGATTCCAGATAGTGCCACAATGGCAGTCATGCTATGTAGTTGCACTTCACTAAATGGCTCTACTTGATATTTTGACCTGTTATCATCGCAGTGCCCAGCAGTTTCAAAAGCTTGCAATCTATGTTTGGGGCATCTATTGAAGTGTTGGTCGAGACTAACCCCAACTCTTACACCTGCTACGTGCAGTGCAGCGGTTTGCTGTGAAGTGCTCTAACCTTGAGCAAATCTGAATGGCAATAGGGAACTGGCTCTGCGCATCTTTGCTCAGAATAGAGCAACGCCCCACCCAAGCTGGAACCTTGCTTTTTTGTCCATTGACCAGCAGAAAGTTGCTCAGTTTCTGCGGGGGGCCCTTTGGTCTAGCGATCAACTTGGCGCGATTTATCCCGTATACAGTATTACTAAATCCACCCTCTCGTTTATGAATTTGTTTTAAAGCAGCGGTCCAAAAAGTCACCTTGAACCCTTTACCCCAATACTAAACCAATGCTAAACTTCTGATAGCCCTTATTAGCACGTCTCTTCTTTCGATTGTCAATTCAACTTTCATATTCCAATTTATTGGCTTGTCTTTTAAGTTTGAATTGACACATCCCATAAACGTGCCTTGAGCAATCCCAGTTAAACTCCTTGCTCAGCAGGTTACGATTTTGACGTTTTTTTTGGCGCCCGACAAAGGGGGGGGGACGCTATTTGGACGAGGACCATAGTGGACACCTTCTGACACCTCCTGGAACCCTATTAAAATTTGATCTGGTGGTTACCCAAATGAAGGGATTGCCAAGGACAAGGAGTTCTAATTTGTTCTGAAACAGAACCCCATGTCAGTGTCCCACATTTGCGTAGAGGCGGGGTTGTCAGGATTCCGGACAACAGTTCCAGCTGACAGGAATGTGTTGTCTCCTATGACTTGTTGAGATATACTTTGTTGCCCAATGCGGAGGAATGCCAGTGCTGCGATGTGCCTCCAACTGGCTGGAGTTACTGCGTCCGAAGAAGCTGACTGGATAACAACTAACACCACGTTCCGGAAAGAAGCTGACTAAAACATTGCCAGCGTTGACAACCATTCATCCACTCGATAATTGACATGCTGTTGCCATGCTTGTTGTCGTGGGTGGTGCTGCTGTTGATGTCGATGCTGGGGTTCTTGGTGTTGGTGTTGTGCTTGGTTGCTCTTGCTGCTGCTGCCTCGGATGCTGCTGGGGTTGTTCTTGTTGGTTGTGGTGGACCCTTCCAGATATGCGGCAAGCCTTGATCTACATGATAGCCTTTTGTTACCTTATCTTATACCTCATTTTGGGTCATGAAGCACAATGTGCCTCTAAGCTACTTACGTGTTGTAGAATGTTGCACTTGGCCGTTCTGTGCAATTGTTTGTTTCAAGTACAGTGCTCATGTCATGCAATTCATGCCCTTTGCTCCGATGTGTTTGCCGAGGTTCTGAACGTAATGACTGGAGTTTTTTGTCAGTCGGCGATAGAGTCTGCTGAGCGTGATCACGAGCTGATCTTGCAGAACGTCGCACATGCGGCCTTGATGCATGCTAACACTGGTTGCTTGATGTCGTCACAGTCGTACCACCCTTGTCAACGTCTTTGTGGAGTGAGAATTGGACTTGGTTGTTGCTTTCTGCAATTGAGCAACAGTTGTCTGAAACGGTTTGCGCTTACAGATTGAGGAGCGAAGGGGGCAGCGCTTTCCATCGTATTAATACATACAAGCAATACTCCCCTTCACGACATCAGATTGCGTATTCATGTTGCTTTACCATTTTCTCAATATTTGATAGGTGTATCCCATGAATGATTTGACTTAGAAGTTGATTAAACCCACTAGCACAGGGAGTATCTTGTGTCGCTTGGATCTTAATGCTGCATTTATGGGCTTGCAAGGTAACCTGTGAAGGCCCTGCTTTTGCTCTTAGATCTGCCTGATCTCATCAGCTTGCAGTTGCCAGGTCAGGTGTTTTATTATTATTATTATTGTTATTATTATTATTATTATTATTATTATTATTATTATTATTATTATTATTATTATTATATATGAGCCACGGACAAAACACACGAAGACCACTTTATCAAGGCGGGGTACGTTTTTGCATAACACATGCCAAAACCATGGAAAACGATAAGGTCTCCCCCAAAAACGATAACCCTTAGCTAGCACACGGCTCTATAATAACCCCTGCAGTTGCAACTTAGCTAGGGTGGGACCCTTGCGTGGCCACCGTAAAACGAGAAGGCAAGTCGCCACTTTCGAGCTGGAGCTGCCAAGGTGTGCTTCGTAAATACGACACTTGTACTGAGAAGTTGCGATTTTCGAGCTGGAGCTGCGGAAGTGTACTTCGCGTACCAGACTTGCACGACAAAGTTGCGATTTTCGAGCTGGAGATGCGGAAGTGTACTTCTCGTACTAGAGTTGCACTACAAAGTTGCGATTTTCGAGCTGAAGATGCGGAAGTGTACTTCGCGTACTAGACTTGTGCTAGCAAAGTTGCGATTTTCGATCTGGAGATGCGGAAGTGTACTTCTCGTACTAGACTTGTACTACAAAGTTGCGATTTTCGAGCTGGAGCGCTGTGGAAGTGTACTTCCCGTAATAGACTTGTACTACAAAGTTGCGATTTTCGAGCTGGAGCTGCGGAGTTTACTTCGCGTACTAGACTTGTACTACAAAGTGCGATTTTCGAGCTGGAGATGCGGAAGTGTACTTCGCGTACTAGACTTGTACTACAAAGCATCGAATTTCGAGCTGGAGCTGCGGAAGTGTACTTCGCGTACTAGACTTGTACTACAAAGTTGCGATTTTCGAGCTGGAGCTGCGGAGTTTACTTCGCGTACTAGACTTGTACTACAAAGTTGCGATTTTCGAGCTGGAGATGCGGAAGTGTACTTCGCGTACTAGACTTGTACTACAAAGCATCGAGTTTCGAGCTGGAGCTGCGGAAGTGTACTTCGCGTACTAGACTTGTACTACAAAGTTGCGATTTTCGAGCTGGAGATGCGGAAGTGTACTTCGCGTACTAGACTTGTACTACAAAGCATCGAGTTTCGAGCTGGAGCTGCGGAAGTGTACTTCGCGTACTACACTTGCACTACCAACTTGCAATTTTCGAGATGCGGAAGTGTACTTTGCGTACTAGGATTGCACTACAAAGTTGCGATTCTCGAGCTGGAGCTGCGGAAGTGTACTTCGCGTACTAGCGATTTTCGAGCTGGAGCTGCGGAAGTGTACTTCGCGCACTAGACTTGTACTACAAAGTTGAACTTTGCGTACTAGACTTGTACTACAAAGTTGCGATTTTCGAGCTGGAGATGCGGAAGTGTACTTCGCGTACCAGACTTGTACTACAAAGTTTCGTTTTTCGAGCTGGAGATGCGGAAGTGTACGTCGCGTACTAGACTTGCACTACAAAGTTGCGATTTTCGAGCTGGAGATGTGGAAGTGCGCTTTGCGTACTAGACTTGTACTACAAAGTTGCGATTTTCGAGCTGGAGCTGCGGAAGTGTACTTCGCGTACTAGACTTGTGCTACAAAGTTTCGATTTTCGAGCTGGAGCTGCGGAAGTGTACTTCGCTTACTGGACTTGTACTACAAAGTTGCGATTTTCGAGCTGGAAGCGCTGTGGAAGTGTACTTCCCGTACTAGACTTGTACTACAAAGTTGCGATTTTCGAGCTGGAGATGCGGAAGTGTACTTCGCGTACTAGACTTGTACTACAAAGTTGCGATTTTCGAGCTGGAGCTGCGGAAGTGTACTTGCGTACTAGACTTGTACTACAAAGTTGCGATTTTCGAGCTGGAGCTGCGGAAGTGTACTTCGCTTACTAGACTTGTACTACAAAGTTGCGATTTTCGAGCTGGAGGTGCGGAAGTGTACTTCTCGTACTAGACTTGTACTACAAAGTTGCGATTTTCGAGCTGAAGATGCGGAAGTGTACTTCGCGTACTAGACTTGTACTACAAAGCTGCGATTTTCGAGCCGGATGTGCCAGAGTTCGAAAACACTGTAAAACGATAAGGTCTCCCCCAAAAACGATAACGTTCAAAAAAGTACTAGGGCCAAGTAAAGTGTTTCGTCCGCTCCTCATATGTATATATGTAGATACAGCAGTCCTGTCCACAATGTGACATTGACATTCATATTGATATTGTTATTGATATGTGTATATATATATATATATATAGCAGTGTATATATATATATATGTATGGGCATTGACCGCTTGAGAAAAAAAACGGCACACGCAGAGCAATTTGGAAGACTGAGAGGCTCAGCTCATTTCGGTGAAGCCCATATTCCTTGATTTCAGCTTGTTCCTTACTCAGAATGCATAAGAAAGATCGGTTGTCTACCAGGCAACTTAGACAAGCGCTGAGAGCTTCAAGCCTCTTGACGGTTCAACCTTGTGCAAATGCAGGACATGTTTGTCGCAAGTATAGGCCAACGATGCTGCGTGTCATGGGCACAAACTCACCCATTGCTGAGGAGAAGGCCAAATACTTCCGAGCAGTACGCCGCCTGTTCGCTCAACTGGACCGGGACAATGATGGAGGAGGGGCAGTTTGAGTGCGCACTGTTCCATGTTGCCGCGTGTTGCCTTAGCAACGGAAACGTCATTGTTGCCATGATGCTGGTTTCGCTTGGCCATGGACAACATTGCATCAAGCAGCAGATAGATGGATGTGACTCATGACTGAGCTGATCAAAGAAGGACGCTTACATAGCACATGTTTGACCGGTCTGCCAGGAGTAACCGTGAAGGAGTTCAAGTCTGCACTCAAGGATCCGTCACTGCACGCCGTATTTGATGCACTTGAAATCAGTGCAGGCAAGGCACTGCTCGCTGAGCCGACGTGTTTTTTGGTTTTGTGCGCGTGTCATTTCGGGCATTCGTTTCCTTTCCGATCTCCTGAGAAAAGTCTTGAGTCTTAGGGTTGATATTATGTTTGGTCTACAGCGAATCGAAGCGGGATTTGGGAAATGCCATCGAGGTGGAAGGACCCACAAAGCTTGGATTGCAGTCGAGCAGGTTTGCTGCATTTTGTCTGGGTAAATCATAGCGAGGTCACCCGACCTCACTGTGAATTCGACCTAGCAATCCTGAAATAAGGGTCTGGGAGAAATCCGGTTGTGTCATGCCCGCCACCCACACCCGCTGCTTGCATAAGCAGTATTTAATGCACTGGACCCTCCCCCTCCATGTTTCCTCCGTGGAGCCACGTTTTGGCATGCAAATTGAGCTGTTGTCCGTTGCGACCCAGAATTCCACTTTTTGGGAGATCCAACCTCTTAAACACGGGGGTATTTCAGGAGTTGCCGCCTGGAGCCCTTATTGATGGGGTTTCAGAAGTTGCCGCGTTGAGGCACAGCAGTGCCACGACTTGAGTTATTTCAGATCGACCTTTGAATCAACGAATTCGACTTAACCATCTATGAAATGGAATACTTCATCCAGATTTTGTTAAGTCATTGTGTGAAGATCAGGTCCATTTTGATGGTTGACTGTTTTGGCAGTTACACCTGCTGGTGTTACTTACTCGTGCCAAGAAGTTCAAATGAGGACTCTGTACTGTTAGCATATCGAATGCTTAGATTGACAGGGTGCCAGCTTCCGACAGTCCAAGGGCCAACATGGCCTCGCCCGCTCGCTCTTCGCAGGCGATGCCTGGGCCCTCTTCACCCAGCTGGACAGAGATGGCGATAGCCAGGTGAATGTGGACGAGTTCCTAGAGGGATGCATGTTGTTGAAGGGGTGCCCTGTCGAGGAAAAGTCTTCAGATCTGTGATACCTGTGCTTCGCGTGCAAGGCTGGAACTCTGTGAATATCGAGTAAGTTTAGGGAGTTTCTGAAGTGGCAAAAAGGAACCGTTAAACTGGAAGGTGAGAAGGTGGCAGGTCTTGGACATTTGTGTATGTGAAACACTGCTCAATCCATGATGCAAAAGGCAATGGTTTAAACAGGGCGTGTGCAAAGGCAGGCGAGATATGATGCGCGACAATGTTATGATAGCAGATCCTCGCACCAAACGATAATGATGATGACGATGACGATGACGATGACGATGACGATGACGATGATGATGATGATGATGATGATGATGATGATGATGATGATGATGATGGTGATAGTGAGGATGAGGATGAGGATGAGGTTGAGGATGTCGAGGGCGATGACAATGACATTGATATTGACACTGTTCGTTTTGATGAGGCCTGCTTCTGTTTTACCACTAAGACAAGGTGATTGCAAGAAAAGCCACAGGCATACACATGCGCGCAAACACACACACACACACCCACCCACCCACCCACCCACCCACCCACCCACCCACCCACGCACGCACGCACGCACGCGCACACACACACACACTGTTGGTCTCTTCGTTTTTGGCTGTTGTGCTCACAACCCCACACGTGTTTCCCTATGTTGTATGACCTAAGCGGTCCATCAGGTTTACCACACTTGCAACACATCTAGTGTCGAGGCAGTCAGCTGTTCGCCGAGTGAGATTGTGTCTTTGTACGTGCATTCGCACGTCTGTTTTTGGTCTTCAGGCTCCTAGGGACGGCTCTTACAGCGTAGACAGGCATGACAGGGGTTCCAACTAAATCCTACCAAAGGCACCATTGCCCTGATCCATACAATTGTATTCCGGGTCAGTGCCATATGGAGCTGAGCTTGGACAAACGTTGCATTTACCGTGCACAACTGGTGAAGTAAGCAAGTATCACAATATATAACATATATAAATGAAACTGCATTCAACATATTTGTAGGTTGCAACCTTGACCTGCGGTCCCAGGTGTGGCTGGAGTGACCTATGTAAGGGGTGCGGGACAACAACAATTCCAGCAACAGTGTCCATTGTGTTGTTTGCCTTTCCAGGTGGGTCCAGCTACCACAATAGTAGGTAGCCGATGTAATCCACCATGAAAACCTGCTAGGAGCAGCATGAGTGTTCAACAATGGCTGACAACATATTGTTTGCTGCTTTGCTGCCATGTTGTTGAGGCCAGCACGGTCCATCGACGTTATCAGCATCAAGCGGGATCTCGTCAAGCTGCAAGAAAAGTTTGATCACTGGGTGGTCAACCACAATGGGCACTACAATGGGCACTACAATGGGCAATCCTGAGGAAGTCTAGGAGAGGTCTCGGCTGATTTTATCGGTTCAGACTCATCCCGAGAGTTGGCGGCTGTTTGGCCTGAGACCGTTGTCAAGAACATCTTGTGGTGCATTGCCACCTCTGCACTCTGTGAAACCAAGTCTTGATACGTCCAGTCCATCCGTTTACACTGCCACTCAATGCGCCTAAGTTCGTTGGGCCGTCATGCTGAGATTGCCGATCACAAGAACGTGCAACTCTCCACAACAATCGATGAAACGACAGCTGGTAAAGCCCCTGCTCGGCTCTAACCAAGTCAGCCTTGGAAGACTGACTGGGTTGTTTACCCCTGACAGAGATCTCTTCGGTGAAGCAAACCCGGGTTTGTTTGTAAGTTCCAGCTGAAGCCTCGGTGTTTCGATACCGTGATTTGGAGGCCCTCAAGGGGCGCTGCCTTTCACCGACAGGCAAAATTGCCTTTCGTGCATAGATTGATTTTCCGACCAGGGTGAGTGCAGGCATCCGGCTTGGACTAGGCAGCGGTGCTTT